AAGGACAGAGTAAAATATTTTTTCGCATGAGTTAGAAAACCAGAAAGAGTTGAGTACAAGATATTAATCAAACATGGGGGGTGTGTGTGTGTGTGTGTGTCGTTCCAAGTTTCTAGTGGACTTTGGTAAACATTTTTTTGACATACCAATGTCCTCATCTGCAAAATTGGGCTAATAATGCCAACTTCAGAGGGTTTCCATGAGGACTGAAGGGAAGAGCATCTGTAAACCACTTAGCACAGTGCTTGGCACGTAGTAAGCATTTCATGAAAACTTACTATCGCTATTGTCAGTTATATACACTAGGATTTAAATCTTTATGATCAAATGATATTACGACTAAAAGTTTGCCTTAAGTTTTCATACTTTTTATAAGTTATATCTTCAGAGAACTTAGTTCTGTGCCATCACATGCGATTTTACCCAAATGGAATTTTTCTAGAATGCCTAAAACTGCTTTATTATTTCATAATTCTCAGAGCTACAAATCCTGCAGATGTCTTGTTTGATCTGTACATTTGAAAAAAACGAATCAGTTCTAATATTCGCGCATCTAGAGATTACACAAAAATCTAGATTTCCAGGTTTTCTGAGGAAAACGAGACATTTAAGCACATGGGCCCTTTGTTCTCCTGTTGGAGAACCTGCTGGCATTGAGTAGGGCTGCCCCTTTGAATGGGGCACACATGCTCTTGCCTGTCCCCTAATTTATACGACTCACCTGGCCCTTGTAGGCATCTGAGTTTGTCATCTCTGCACCCAGGATGGTGTCTTATTTTCTCATATATCTGCGGATCGTCAGCTCTCAGACTGGTTAGTAGGTCATGAGTGGACAAATGGGAAAAACAGCAACTTAACTGTCCTTCACACCAACAGACTGTTTCAGCCTGTCAAGCCTGCAAACTCCCAGCTGAATATGCATGGGTCCCGGTTTCCATGATGCCCCCAAAGCTCCTGAACACAGTCTGTCCCCAGCCGGGCACCCAAGGTCAACTTCCACTCCTGTCCAATTCCACCTTCCTTTGCCAGCCCTGTTTGACTCTTCTCCAGCTGACCCAGCTGCATCCCACACCACTCTGCAAACCTGCCTTACGTTGCCCCACTCGGGGCCTCTGCCCTCCTTCTGCACCCCTTCCTCAAAAGGCTACCTGTCTTTCGAATCCACCTTGATAGTCCTTGCTTTGTAAGTAACAATGACAGTATCCTGTAAGGCCTAAGCACGTGCCCTAATTCTGTCCCTGGGCGTGCAGGTCTCTGCCCCCCCCCCCCCCCCCCCCCCCCCCCCAGCACTCCCCAGCACAAACCATGTCACCGTCATCATAGTATCACTGAGACGGAGTTCCTGACATATTGCAAGGTATGCTCTCAATATTTAAATACAGGAACACATTTCCATTTTAAGGAGGAAATGCTTCTAATTAATAGTTTGCTTCCTCATCCTACTACAACATGAAACCTTATTTTTCATCAAATAATGCGTTTCAGCCCTCCTGATAAGCTCAACCGAACATTAGCCTTTATCGTATCATTTACCTAGTGTCTGAGAGTATTAATTCTTTAACTGAGAAATGGGGATAATACAACCTCTAGTGTGGTCAGAAGGATTCAGTGAGTTAGTTGCAGAGAAAGTGCTTAGCGCAGCAAACATGAAGGGCATGGCTATTATCATTACTATGTAGAAACCCACCTAGTTTTTAGAAGCCAGTTTAGAAGTGTCTTCCTTCATTCTATTTTTCTAAAATACTTCTTAGGAGAAAGCAGGTGGAAGATTATAGTTTGTGTGCCTGGCTAAAGAAATGCATTTTGCTCAATAAAATAAAGCAAAGTAAAAGGTTATTTAAAATATCAGTGGTTCAGGCAATAGTAGCTTTCTTAAAAGTATGCTTCTATAGCCACCATGGTGATGCTTGATTCAGGAAAAAGATCACCAATCAGTGTGCAAACTGGTGGGCAAAAGTGTGTTGAACAGGATATTGATAGTCTCACAATTTCAACCCAGAGAGTATTTATTAATCCCAAAGATAGAAAGCTCCTTTTCCATTGGAGAAATTTGGTGGATGTCACTTAAACTAAGTGGTCAAAATTACCATCGCAAAAGCAAAACCATAACTCACATGCAATATGATTTATAAAAGCCAAAAATAAAAACAAAAACAAAAAAATAGAAATAAAAAAATTACCATCACCATTATGGGTCAGATAGACCCTTCTGAAGTGATATAATAAGGAGATAACATCACCTACATAATATACTTGCAAAAAAAAAAAAATTAACCTGACTCTACCAATGAGAGACCAACCAGAGAAATCCAGAGACATTAATAAATATAGCACATAGGCCTTGATCAGATCCTCTTTAGGAAAAATGAGCACAGCCACAAAGATCCTTATCGGGATGACCAGTGACGTTTGGATACACACTGCAGATTAGATAATAAAAACAGGGCAAAAGGCAACTGTGACTCAATTATATTTTCAATGACCAGCTCTTTCCTGAAGATTCCGGGAATCTGTTATAAAGCCTTGCAGTGTGAAAATTACATGTGATATAGGTTTGCTGCATTGGACTGGATTAGAGGATTAGAGTTTTTGTAGAAAGAATGTGCTTCTGGGTTGCAGTTGTATAAATGGGTATAAGAACTCAGCAAAGAAGAATGTAGATGCTAATCACGCCCACCATGCAGTGCAGTGTTTGTGGGTTGTCTACGAACTGCACAGAGTGTGCTGGGGAAAAGTTCCCGGATGACAACCAGTGGGACAAAGTCCCAAAGCAGGGCGCTTGCTTTATTTCGAGTTTGCAGGACATGTTGCCTAATGAGAATGGATTGCTGGGAAAATCAGAGTGCGATTTCATTGTCCTTTTGGTACGGCAGCGGGGATGAGCAGGCAGCCGGCGGGAGCGTCCCTGGCTGTCTGGCGTGAGCCAGTGCCGTATTAGCCTCAAATACGGGGAAGTCAACCAACCATGTGCAAGACTGGCTGGCAGTCATTAGAGACATCCAGTGTTTGGGCCTCTGTGTTTCAGGGGGGATAGGAGCATTAACAGCTTACTTTTTAGTTTCAGAAGCCAGAGATGTTTTCATTACTGGTATCCTCAGGCATAGACTTTTTAATTTAAAAAAAAGAAAGTAAGTTCAGGATGGAAATCGCCTATCACTACAGGAATGTCTTTGCAGCAGAAACACATGATGGTTTACCTGTCAATCTCACCATCGTGCCGGCTTTATTGTGTCTGGAATGAGGAAGCAGCAGCAGGGAAGACAGGTGAGGCGGGGTACACAGAGGGGCCTCTGGAATCGCTAATACCTCAGAAAAGCTGAAGGCTTAATTCCAAAGTGGTTTTGAGACTTCAGGTTTCTTACCTCTTGGGGCTAATAAGAAAGCGACCATTCGGCTTAGAACTTCCCTACTTCCTCCAAAGTCATAATGTCCCACTTTTTGGATTTTTTTGGACAGGTGTTATGGTAGATTCAAGTTGGCTACAAATTCTTTTGTCACTCTCCCCAGCAGGGGGTAGATTTTATCTCCACCCCCCCCCACCCCCCCCCCACCCTTGAATCTGGGCTCTCTGTTGAGCCAAGAGACTGTGCAGAGGTGCACTGAGCAATTCCAGGCCTGGCCTTTCAGAGCACTGAGGCTTCCGCTTCCTCCCTCTTAGAACACTTTTGCCAGCAGCAGGGGACCCTCCCTCTTAGACCCCAGCTCCCATGCTGGGACGGGGTCAAGCACATGGCACGGAGGTCCTGAGCCAGTATGGACTGGCAACTCATGGGAAAGCCATGTAGGACAGACATTTCAGCCCAATCTTGCCCCTTGACACCCTCGTCACCCCCTGCCGCAGAAGCGGGCCAGCAAAGGGTAGGCTGCTCAAGTGACAGAGAATAAGATGTTGCCTTAAGCTGCAAACTTTCGGCGTGGTTTGCCCTGCAGCAACAGATACCTCAAATTTATAAACGAAAAATTTCACGAGAAGGAAGATCATCTTGCTAACAAAGCACAGGTCAGAACACTTGCCGGGTGGGAACAGAACTGTTTTGAACACACGTTAACATCCTTTATCTTTTAGTGGCTTTGACCTCAAAACCAGCCTCAGCTGATGTCTTCTGGTGTCCAACACAGAAAATTCAGAAAAAGAAAAATCTCATTCAATTACAGCTTCATCCTGACATGCGCGTTTCACACAGACCTTATTTTTTAAACAGAGTTTATTGTATTTAATACATTATAAAATTTGAAAAATTGTAGGAAAGCAGCAGACTCAAACTGGAGCAAGTCTAACAAGTAATAATTCTGGCCCCTTTGCAAAACTGATCAGTTTAAAAACAAAGTCATGTTCACATCTGTGAGGCGGGCAAAGAAGTGTGACTTCTGTACAAACTACATTTAAAATTTCATGTCTAATGTCTTTCGAATGCAGTGTGCTCATGAAGAGTTTTTCTGAAGTCCTGCCCGTCCCGCCTAAACAGAGGACAGGAAACCTCCATCCTGCAAATAAACTCTATTCAAGGTGTTTTTTTTTGTTTTGTTTTTTTTAAAAAAAAAAAAAAAAAGGAAAAAGAAAGACAAAGGAAAAGGAAACAATGGATGGCTGTTGGCAATGAAAACCGTAAGGAGATGCGTCCTCACTGCTCATGGCTTGTTTATCGGTCAGAGGCCTTGGGAGGCCCAGGACACTTCACGGCCATCACAGCACCAACTGTAGCTACCACCTTTTTGAAACTTTTTTTTTTCCTTTTTTTTTGCATTTCCTACCTTTTGACATATATATATATATATTTATATATTTTTTTACACCTTGAGGATATCACTATTCCAATTGTTCCCATATGAATACAGGTGTGGTCTCTATTGGATATCAATGTGTCTGTTTATTCAATTTTAGGTCCAGGACTTGGTTTTGTTGTCCCAGCTGCACATAAATGTCCCTTTTTTGTTTGCGTTATTTGTTGTGTACGTTTTTTGTTTTTGTTTTTTCCTTTTTGCATAAGAAATCTGTCCGTTTAGTCCAGAGGCTCTTGCTTTATCCGGATGACAGAGGGCCCGCGGGGCGTCCGCCTCAGTTCCCGCCGCAGGACGTACTCGCTGAACTGGGACGAGTCCACTCCTCCTCCACAGGAGGCCACGATTTCAAATCCTCTCTGCTGCAACCTCTCGAGGACCTGCACAGGGCCAAGACAAGCATCTGGTTAGGGGGACACAGGTCCTCTGGCCACACGAACAGCCCAAAGAGGTGTCCTGAAGTTTGAGATCTTGTGCAGCCCTGGTCATTCTTACCCACCCCCCGAGTCTCTCTGAGTTTCTGCTTTCAGAGGAAGGCCCTGCACTAAAGGGCAGGAGGGATGGAACGGTTGTGTCCAACACCCAAAATACTCCTTCACATGCTTGCCGCTCACGTGCCGGTTCATTGAATAGTTGCAACCACCTTGCTTATTAATGGGTGGTCAGCCCATTTCATACCCGGGAAAACTGAGGCTCACAGCCTATAAGTGATGGAAGTGGGTTTCCAGCTCAGCTCCATTTGGCCTCAGATGCCACGTTTCTTGTAACATGCAACACTCCCTTCTCTGCAAAAAGAGAGGGTTTACCTTTCCAATCTCATCACTAAAATATCTTCTATGAGATGATAAATGATATGGCCAGACAAATGATCTGAATCTACTCAGCCAGTGAGTCATTCTCAACCCGTTCACTCTCAGCGCCACCACTGCTGAAGTCTGCCTGTACTAACTTCATATATTTCAGTTTGGAAGACGGATGTAATTTCAATGGCAGAACCAATGGACTGCTGAAGATGGTTGAGGTTTATCTACAAGTTTTTGAGTTTGTGGCATTTGAAATAGATTTATTGCCTTGGGTGCATTCAGGGAGGCAAGAGTAATTGCAATGGTTAGATGTTAGAAAACATATCCAAATAAAGATATTCTAAACTTCTCATATAATAGTAACTTCTCATAAGCTCTTCAGTTTTGAAATCAAATACCTAGTGCCAGAAAGATCCCTGGGTTGGTCACCAACATGTCCGATGGTCTTAAATGTAGGAGACAATTCCTATGCTCTTAGGCAAAAATACAGAAAGTTGATCTACAGCATTGCTTCCTTAGGAATCCAACAAACACTGGACTTGCAAATGTTCCCTGGGATTCTGGCTATAATTAAATTACTTCTACACCACTCTAAAGGCAAGATGACTCAATCATAACTTTAAAAAAATTCTGGTTTAAAATTTGGGGGGGAAATGAAGTGGGATGTTATTAACTTTTAAAATGTACTCAACATAAAGCAAACCCTTACTGTTTCTTCTTAAATTATTATTTTTTGGTTGCCTACTTTTATGTGGAATATAATTTGCTATTTTGCAAAAGAGCTCACTAGAGATTAGAAAACAATAGAGTAAACTTTCAGAAAACTACAACTTCTAATGCTGGCCAATTAAAAAAAAAAAAAACCAAGGGGCGCCTGGTTGGCTCAGTTGGTTGAACATCTGACTTCAGCTCAGGTCACGATCTCACAGTTCGTGACTTCAAGCCCCATGTCAGGCTCTGTGCTGACAGGGCAGAGCCTGGAGCCTGCTTTGAGTTCTGTGTCTCCCTTTCTCTCTACCCCTGCCCTGCTCACACACACACACACTCTCTCTCTGTCTCCAAAACAAACATTAAAAAAAAAAATTTTTTTTAATAAAAAAAAAACCCAAGTCTTTATGAGAACAAATGAACATTCTAACCTACAGTGCTCTTATTTCTGTAGATATATCCACAATGCATATGCACACCAGTCAGCAAGGGACCGAACGAAGAAAACAATCCCTATGTTCAAAGTCAAGATGTGCTTTGGTGGTAGTTAAATAAAAAGGTGAGGACCCAAGAGCTAAGACTTCTCCAGCAGAGGCAGGAATGTAGCCTTTCAGCAAGAAAAACCCCAGTCTGCCTGGCCAAACCACGGCACCAGAAAGGATTCTTTGCCTTCACTGGGAGAGGAATTGAAAAGGTAGAAGCTGTGAACAATAAAGAACGTAACTCTGATATTGTTTGTCTTGCAGTGATGGAAGGTTGCTAAACTGTTAAATGTGGAAATCCCCAAGCTTCCTCCCTAGGGGGTCTGATACATCTAATATGATAATTATTCCATATGACCCAGCAGTACCTTGAATGTGCTCAAAGCTTATTTCAAAGTAATGCAAACAGCTATGCTCCTTGGCCATTTCTTTTTAAACATCAATTTGTCAATAACAAAATTCCTTAAAGTTAGTGATCACTTGGGAATATTAAATCACTCCAGGGCTGGGCTGGAGGTATCAGGTCTTGTGTGTCTTATCCCAAAACCTGTGAATGCCTAGAGGACGGTGCCTATTTCTTGGTCGGTGGAGCAGGAAGCTGGAGTCATCGATTACGTCGTGGTTGTGTCATGGCTGTGTCACTGATGATGTTAATCCAGATGAAAATGTCCACATCTGATCAGACTTGAATGACTGGGAAACTTGTCAGGCATATGAATTTGTCCCACAGCCTGAGTGGTGGGCTGGGGTTTTGTGTGAGACATGGGGCCCTAGAGAAGCAATGCTGTCCTGGCTCTGATGGGCACTGCCTCCTCCCTCCATCTGGAGGGGGGCTGGGACAGGGAGCGTTTGTAGGAGGCAAACGGCTTTCAGAGTTTCAATTAACACCGGGCCTTGCGGGTGCACCTCTGGCCCCATCCAACCCAGCGGCCACCACACTGCCTGCCAGCGTGTGCCTTTCTCTTGCCCTCCCAAGACACAGCTCCTGCCAGCATCTCCTGCTGTTTTGTTCTTGGACGCCTGTTCGTAAATTTTAAAAATTGTAAGTAGTGGGGTGCCTGAGTGGCTCGGTCAGTTGAGTGTCTGACTTTGGTCATCATCTCATGGTTCATGAGTTCTAACGCAGAGCCTGCTTTGGATCCTCTGTCTCCCCCCCCCCCCCCCCCCCCCCCCCCCCCCCCGCCCCTCCCTCACTTGCTCTCTCTCTCTCAAAAATAAAATAAACATTTACAAAAATTATAAATAGTTGTGGAACAATCTTCAAGGGGCAGAATGGTAGAGTGGGTGCTTCTAGTCTTTGAGCTGTGGGAGGGGTTTTATTGGGTCAATAAAGGCATAGGCCCACGCCAATTAAAAAGAGGTCGGGAGGGGGTGCCTGGGTGGCTCAGATGGTTGGGCGTCCAACTTCGGCTCAGGTCATGATCTCGCTGGTTTGTGAGTTCGAGCTCCGCGTCGGGCTGTGTGCTGACAGCTCAGAGCCTGGAACCTGCTTCAGATTCTGTGTCTCCCTTTCTCTCTACCCCTCCCCTGCTCACACTCTGTCTCTCTCTCACAAATAAATGAATTTAAAAAAAGGGGGTGGGTGGGAGAAACCCCAAGCCCTTACTCCATTGACTTCAAATCGTTTTGAGTGACCTAGACCCGGAGTTAAGACCCAGATGTGCCTCTGCTTTCTCATCAGCAAGACAGGGGGGCTAACGGCGCTGACCCATAAAGACTGTTACAAGTAGACAAGGCACATACAACCCTTGACGTGGGGCTGCCACACGTTAGTTACGATAATGAGCAGACCAACCAGCGTCTAAGGGACTCAGCACCTCACGTGTAAACCCACCTTCTGAATTCCACCCGTCTCCTCCCATAGACTTCTCCATCTCAGAAAACAGGAATCCCATCCATCCAGTTTCTGGGTCAAAAATCGTAGTCATCCTTGGCTTCTGTCTTAGAACCCACAGCCACTGTCAGAAACCTTGTTAGCTCTACTACGTTCCTGACATTCAGAATCGGACGCTTCTCAACTGTTGCTAACTGGTCCCTTTGCTTCCGCCGTTCTCCCTTTGCTTCCCTCTGCTGCCGGAGGATTCATGTTCAGAGCTGAATTACATCATGCCACGCTTTTGCTCAAAATCCTCAAATGGCTTTTACTCACACAAGCAAATGAATGAAAACCAAAAGAAACAAAACAAACAAAAAATCTCAGGGTGCCTCCCGCCGCCCAGGAGGCAATCCGTGATCTGTTCCCAGCCACCTGCTGGCCTCGGGTCTCAGGACTCCCTGTCTCTCACTTTCTTCAAGCTGCGCGGGCTCTCCTCGATACCCCTCCTCACACCATGCCGACTCCTACCTCGGGATCTTCACAACTTGCGGGGCCCTCTGCCTGGGACGCCCCATCCCAGCTACTCTCTCTTCTCACTACCTGACCACCATTTCTGTTGGTTACTGTTTGGCTCCCTTGTCTTTCCCAGAATGGAAGTTCCCTGAAAATAAAGCTATTGTCTATTTCTTCGTCTCCTAGCGTTCCAGTGCTCACACGGGCACCGGCTTGTAGTGTATGTTCAACAAATACCTGTGCAATGATTGAGGGCCCAGAGGGTGAACAGGCCTACCTACCCAGAAGTGATGCCACATGAGAGTTTCCCAGCTCTCTGGACGGAAGGCACTGTGTGAAGGCAAGGTTAAGTAACAGCATTAAGAGCGACATTCGATTCCACACGGTATACGACAAGGCTGTACCTGGACCGAGTTGAGGTGACAGTAGCCATTCAGTGGAAACCTAATGACGTGTGTCGAGTCATGATTCCAGCCTGCATTGACAGAGTTACACATCACATCGCCGATCTCTGGAAACACTTCTTCTATCAAGGATTTGTCACCGCTGAGCGTGATCCTTTCTCCGAGGTCTGGGGCGACACGCACCACTAGGCACTCGCAGGGCCTTGAAAAGCGACCAGTTTCTCTGTCCTGCTTCCATCTTTCCATCTCCAACAACATGGGCTGAAGCTGAAAATATTTTGCCTCTTCATATAACAAAGTGTAGTCCTGGCAAAACAAACAAAAAAGGCGTTTCATAGCGCAAAATACAAACACGAAGCGCTGAAGATGTCCACAGGTAAGAGGTGATTTTTTTCCACCTCTGTTACTTTGATAATCAAATCTGCGTGTGAATTTTTCACTCACAACACAACTCCACGTGCATTCATTCATTCCTTCATTAATGCATTCAGCGATGATAAAAAGAGATAAGAGTATTAAGGGCCAGGCAGGCCCTCTTCTAAATGCTCCCCATAAATTAAACCCTGTAGCCCCCCCCCCCCAACAGCCCTGTGGATTTGGAACCATTATTATTCCCACTGTGCAGATGAGAAAACGGAGGTGAGAAAGGCTGAAGCCATGACTTTTCTCTTTCAGTAAGGAGTGCCTCTGGGCATTTAAAATTCGTGCGGTGAGAATCCACTTTACGTCCTCCAGAAGGAGCCACATGTAGGTCTCAGTGAGGGAGGCGCAGGCGCACTATTCACGGGAAGCCCACCCTCCCCATCACCTTCACTGGCAGCTCAGAATTTGTGGGAGGCAGGGGGCAGCACGAGGCGGGAGGGCGGCCAGAGACAGTGGCGGGAGGGCGCCTGCAGGGCACATGCCGGGCGCGGCTTTGACCTAAGTGTGGGTGCTGATCTGGGATGGTCTGGGGGAGGCGGAGGCACCGCCCTCGACGCTGCCATGCTCAAGGGACAGAGGCAGACATCAGTCCATGATCCCTGCCGGACAGATGTGCATGAAAGGAAACCCGTCCCTTTCTGAAACCACAGCCACCCACTCTTTGACTCTTGCCTTAAAACAAAATCTACTGAATTAGAACAGAAATCTGGCAAGCAGGTATTAACACACACACGCGCGTGTCACTGAATGGGAGCCTTGGGAGGCAGCGACGCAGGAAAAGGGAGGGAAAGGAGGAAAAGGGAGGCAGCAACGCAGGAATGATGTTATCAAGCAGGTCAATACGGTCTACGCGTAGCTATGACCACAATCATCTCCGGGTGTGAGGCAAGTGGGACACTTGTCCGGACATGTTGACTGAGAACGTTTTAATGAGCTGACACAGGCGTGTCTGCCGTCCCTCCTCGGGCTGGAGCTGGCAGGCGGTGCCTGGTGCCCGCGGCAGAGCCGCCCTGAGAGCCTGGGGCCCGAGCGCGGCCCGAGGCCTCGGCCATCTGGATGGGATGGCGCACGGAGAGGATGACCACGGGAAAACGGGTTCTATTTGGCACTCTGCTCTTTTTCTTGCAAATTAAGCGGCAAAGGCAGCAGCGGCAGTAGCATCACGCAGGGCTTCCAGAGAAAAAAGCATGGAGAGGTGAGAAAGTCCCAGCGGGCCTCCAGCCGGGTCTTCCGCTTTCTGTGGCAGGACACCTGGGCCAGGTGAAGACGCTGCCCCAGATGCCCCTCAGCAGAACAGACCGCTTCGGTGCTCTGTCTTCTCCCGGCAATGCCATTATTGCAGGAGTCCCGGTTCCCTGCTGGAGAGGAGCCCACTGCCCTCATCATCTTCCTTGCACATCCTGGCACCTGACCCACAGGAGGTTTGAGGAGAGGAGAATAAGGCTGAGGTGTGGCCACGCTTAGGAAAGGACAGAAGTGAGGCCCCCTCACACAGCCTGAGGGCGGGAGTGGGGAGATGGCCGGTTCCTCCTGGATACCTGGGATCCCCACTGAAGTACATCAACCATGAGATGCTGACCTCAATCTTTTACTTACTTATCCAGATGACAGCTCTCAAGGAGATTTAAAAACAGCATTGACAGTTGACAGGCAGTAGAAATGAGAACTTCTGCTACTAACTTTTTATTTTCCTATGAGAATTAAAAATTTTAGCACAAGGCGTGCCTGGGTGGCTCAGTTGGCTAAGTGTCTGACTTCGGCTCAGGTCATGATCTCACGGTTTGTGAGTTCGAGCTCCGCAACGGGCTCTGTGCTGACGGCTCAGAGCCTGGATCCTGCTTCGGATTCTGTGTCTCCGTCTCTCTCTGCCTCTCCCCTGCTCACACTCTGTCTCTCTCTCAAAAATAAATAAACATTAAAAACAATGATAACACAAGAAAGAATCTGGACTCCAGTGAAAATGTGTCATCAAGTCTTCAAATCTGAGACTGCTTAAAGCAGTCTTAATGACCAACTTTGACCCTCTGGAGGAATCCTTTCAAACACTGCTGAATAGTGACCATTAGCCTTTGATTAAATGCTTCCAGTGATGGGAAGCTTACTATCTAACAAGGCACAGCACTGACTTTGTTGGCTGCTCTGATGGTTGTAAGTTTTTCAGTTAGAAGGACCTTAATTTCCCTGTAGTTCCAACTTACTTGTTCAGACTCTGCCATCTGGGGTTATATGATCCTAAACTTTCTTTGACCTGTTAAACCTTCAAACGTCTGAACACAACTGTTACGTCTTAGTATTATTCAGGCTGAAAACACCCCATCTTTTCAGCTCTTTTTCATTCGTTATGACTTAGAGGTCCTTCAATATCTGATGTGTGCTTGACTTTGTCAACATACTTCTGAAAACCCAAACCCAAACTGGACCTAACATTTCAGATGCGATCTGATGAGCACACTGTGAAACCTTTGCTTGGCCGGACATTCTAACCACTATTAAAGCAGCCTGCATTCATTTCCCATGGCTGCTGTAACAATCACCACACATTTAGTGGCTTAAAACCACAGAAATTTATTCTCTTACAGTTCTGGAAGTCAGAGGTCTAAAATGGGTCATTAAGGTAAGAGGTCTAAAGGGGTCTGGACAATCTAGAGAATTCGTATCCTTGCCTTTTTCAGCTTGCAGAGGCAGCCCACATTCCTTGGCCTGTGGTCTCACATCACTCTGACCTCTGCTATTGTCACATCTTCTCTGACTGTGACCCTCATGCCTCCTTCTTTCACTTGGACCCTTGTGAGTGCACTGGGCCCACCTGGATTATCCACAATAATCTCCCAATCTCAAGACCCTTAACTTAATTAATCACATCTGCAAAGTCCCTTCTGCCATGTAAAGTGATACATTCCTGGATTCCAGGAATTATGACGTGCACATCTTCGGAGAGGGGCATCATTCTGCCTACCACACGGCATCAGCCTGTATTAACTTTCTTGGCTGTCCTGTTACCCTATTAGTTTATAGTTTGCTGACTGTGGCGTCCCCATACCTTTTCCTAAGAGCTGCTACTGAGCTAGGCCCTTCTCTTTCAGCATTTGTGAAAAATTTTAAACCCTCCATTATGTATCCCTCTTTAAATTGTTGGAATTTGTCCCAACATACTGAGAAAATGTGGATTCTTTCATCCAATGTTCTGCTCTCTCTCTCTCTCTCTCATCATTTTGAGCCAGGTGTTGTGTTTCTAGATGGAGTAATGACACGGCTACATGCAGACCTTGGTTCAGGTTGATGCTCAGGTAGCAAATGAAGACTCTGGATTCTGGCTGTTCAAATAGTTATAAAACCTAGAATTCGGAGATCAGTCAGCCCATAACTGTGGCATTTGCTGGGTGTCTTGTTGAAATGCCATGTGTTTGGGTGGGACTCCAAGGAGAAGGCTGGACATGTGGGAGGGCCCAAGTCTCTGTACTGCCCAGAGATTCTCCTTAACTATTTTGGGCTCCAGTCTCCTTATCTATAAAATGAGAGGAATCAACTCCTTCGAAGTTGCTTCCAGCCCTGATATCCGAGTCTATATCCATGACAATGTCCTGACCCACCAGTTTGTCTACCATAACCTGAAGGTAATGGGGCTAACAGGACTTGGGGTTACAGCTCCTCCAATGCTGACTCTGAATCTTCACCCTCTTTCCCCCCTGAGTTCACGAGCCACATGGGTAATCCACTCTGAGGTCTGGCCATGGCCTGACAGAGTGCCTCCCTATACGATGCTGCTCGTGTTCCTTGTTCTCTGCTCCTGAACAATGAGGGAAACACTGGCCGTTATTAGACTTTTGGCCCTGCTCAGTGATTTCTCAAGGATTCTGCCAGTGGTTACTGAAGCGAAGTTTAAAGGGGTCCCCTGAAGACCATCTTATACCCTGGGATGTATCTCACAGGGCCCGGTCTTGAACTCCTTCAGGCCACCAGGTGTTCTTTTACTCTCTCTTGACCATCTGGCTTCATCTCTTCCTTTACTGTGCTGTTCCTTCCGGTCTCTGGGGTGGAGCGCCATCTACACCGGGGCAGCGGACGCTGGAGAACAGCCGAGCGCCGGGCTCCCCTTGGCCATCGGCCCCCCACGCTGACTTGCCTCCAAGCGTCTGCCAGCTCAAGAACTAAAAAGGCCCTTCTTGTTTTTGTTATCATTTTCTGCACGGTTAAGCTCACACTGGCCATTCGCTTTCTTGGCGGGCTCCTTTATAGTCGTCTTTCTCTACTTCCTAACACACGTTTCCAGTCTCAGCTCGTCGGAGATCGCCCCGTGGAGCCGACTCATACCCACGGCTGCTTTTCTTAGGAACCTCATCCTCCTTTCCTTCCTCAATTGGGATCATTTAATTCTACTGTCTAAATCCCGTATTTTTTAGAGTCTACCAAGTTTCTCTTTAGACCCCCTGACCTTGTGTTCATTTCCTTCTGCTCTCTGAATCTTTTGAAATCTTCTTTCCTTATACCTTGGTTCCTATCTGGCAACACCCACTGTTCCTTTCTTTGGTTGTTCCTCTAGACAACGCTGTCTCTTATCCCTAAGGTATGAGGTGGAAACGGGCAGGAGTTTATGGGGCAGCAGCAGGTGTGGCCCCAGATTTCCTTTTGAAGAAAATGAAACCCAAAACTACATTTGCTTTTCAGCAAAGCAACTGCAGAATGTACTAGATGCTGTCACTCGTCTGCCCTGCTTCTATGCCAATTTTATCTTCCCTAATTAGGAAAGTATCATCCATATTTCTTGTGTAGCCTCACATTCAGGTAGAGGGAAATAGATTATTCACAGACCTATTATCACATTTAAAGAATTTTAAAATCCTAGAATACATATTTTTAAAATAAAAAATTTTTTGAGATTTACG